TTTTTAAAAAGTGCGGGCATTGTACTTCCCACCCCCGGCTCGGTCTGGCTAACTTTTTTTCGAGTCATTTTCAAAAAATATTCCCTGCCCTACTCCAACAGCTTTATATTTCCCAAAATTTTTGACAGTATGTAAAGGGACAGTGCAGCTAATGTGACATTTTATTGGCAACGTTTCGCTCTCCAGGAGCTTGTCAAGCTGTTACGGCTTGACAAAGCTCCTGGAGAGCATAATGTTGCCACAGTAAAATGTCACATTAGTTACTCTTGTGTCCTTTTACTTTACTCCAACAGCTTGTCAAGTTCAAAAAAGCCTTCATCTCCACTCACTTCTATTTAACATGCTTGCACATGCCTGCTGTATATCTAAACCCCTTTCACACAAAATCTCTTTTACCCCCCTCCCTCCACCCTTTCCTAGGATGACTCCTACCTCTCCTTCCCCTCCACTCCAGATTTATACACCCTCCAAGTCATCCTATTGTACTCCATCCTCTCTACATGACCAAATTACCTCAGCAACCACCTCCTCAGCCCTCTGAATAATAATTTTATCATCTCCACACCACCTAATTTCCACACTACAAATTCTCTGCACAAAATTTACGCTACACTTTATCTTTAGACACATCTCCACTGCCTCCAGCTTCCTTCTCGCTGCAACATTTACAGCCTATTCTGTACACATTGTGTTACTACCACTATACTCTCATACATTCTCTTCTTTGCCTCCATGAATAACGTTTGTTTCCACAGATAAATCAGTGTACCACCCATTTTTTTTCCTTCGTCAATTCTATGGGTTACCTTATCTTTCATAAACCCATTGAGCACATTTTTATTGAAATTCTTTTGTTTTCAGTTTAACAATTTTCAAACCAAACAAAAAACTAAAAAACAAATGGGCATCGCCAAAACTTCTGACCTGTTTAAAGAGTTTTTCTACCCCCACATCCCAGGCTGGGGCCAGGCCTCTCTGTTGATTAGCTGGTTGACCTGGCTGTTGCTGTAGATGTCCCAAATATTTTTTTTTTTTTTAATCTAAATTATTCAAGGGATATTCCTCAAAATTTTATGAATCTGTAGTGAGTGATTGTACAGTATTTTCAACAAAATTTGTAATTGATTGTGCTGATTAGAAGAGCATAAGTTTATAGTTTTGAATTAATATTTATTAATTTTATTTTAGCCTTATATTTATGTCAAACCCCGAGGAGCTGAGAACTGCAGCACGTTGGACTGGCATGGGCAAGGATTCCAGGAAAGAGCTCATGGATCGTCTTCAGCATTTTCTGCCGCCTTCAATAATGTTGCCTCCACATAGGTAAGTTAGTCTAATTAAATTGTAATATGTTTTCTTTGATTTTTTCATCTTTATCAAAAAGCATCTTCAAATTGTTACTCATAATGACAGCTAAAAAGCTTGATACCAAAATGTAACTTTCTTAACCATTTAGGGGTCTAGACCCCAATCTGAAAATTCCCCACAGGGTCCAAGAATTTAAAAAAAAAAAAATTGTGAAATGGTAGAGAAAAAATTTCTGAGAGTTATAAAACAAAGTATGAAATTTTTTAAAAAATTAACGAAATTATGCACTCGTGAATTTTGCTGTGTCAGCGATCTTTACACATTGGCAATTTTTCCCACTTTGAGTCCTATTTTTGGCCAGTTACATTGTTCCATTAGAGTAAATTTTTAGCTATTTTGTGTTCCATTTTATCTATTGAGCACACAAAATCTCCCAATCAACTATTTCAGCTACCCAATAAAGTGATCAGAAATTGGTAGTTTGGCCAATTTCACACAGTTCAGAATATTCCAATTTGAAAATGGGGACCAGAATAAATAATGCAGGCATTCCTGGCAAGCGAGTAACTTTATTCAGGTATACACAAATACAGTTACATAGATTATCATACATAGCAGCATATGTGAAGAGAATCTAGAATAACCCATAAAAGTCAGACAGAGTGACTTATTTCCATTGGGGTCCTTTTAATACCTTATTATTATACCAGAAAGGAAATATCTTATTATACTATAAAGGAGTTTTTTTCAACAAGTTGGCCGTCTCCCACCAAGGCGGGGCGACCCAAAAAGAAAGAAAATACTTCCATAATCATTCAACACTTTCACCTCACTCATACATAATCAGTCTTTGCTGAGGCACCCAGATACAAGAGTTTAGAAGCATTTTTTTTTTTTCTTAACAAGTCGGCCGTCTCCCACCGAGGCAGAGTGACCCAAAAAAGAAAGAAAATCCCCAAAAAGAAAATACTTTCATCATCATTCAACACTCTCACCACACTCACACATTATCACTGTTTTTGCAGAGGTGCTCAGAATACAACAGTTTAGAAGCATATACATATAAAGATACACAACATATCTCTCCAAACTGCCAATATCCCAAACCCCTCCTTTAAAGTGCAGGCATTGTACTTCCCATTTCCAGGACTCAAGTCCGACTATATGAAAATAACTGGTTTCCCTGAATCCCTTCACTAAATATTACCCTGCTCACACTCCTCCAGATCGTCAGGTCCCAAGTACCATTCGTCTCCATTCACTCCTAACTAACATGCTCATGCACGCTTGCTTGAAATTTAAGCCCCTCACCCACTCAACCTCCTTTACCCCCTCCCTGCAACCTTTTCGAGGATGACCCTTACCCCGCTGTCCTTCCCTTGCAGATTTTTACGCTCTCCATGTCATTCTATTTTGATCCATTCTCTCTAAATGACCAAACCACCTCAACAACCCCTCTTCTGCCCTCTGACTAATGCTTTTATTAACTCCACACTTTCTCCTAATTTCTACACATTGAATTCTCTGCATAATATTTACTCCACATTGCCCTTAGGACATCTCCACTGCCTCCAACCACCTCCTCGCTGCAGCATTTATATCCCAAGCTTCACACCCATATAAGAGTGTTGGTACCACTATACTTTCTTACATTCCCTTCTTTGGTTCCATAGTTCAAGTATTTTGTCTCTACACATACCTCAACGAACCACTCGCCTTTTTTCCTTCATCAATTCTATGGTTAACCTTATCCTTCATAAACCCATCCGCTGACACGTCAACTCCCAAATATCTGAAAACATTCACTTCTTCCATACTCCCTCTCTCCAATATGATATTCAATTTTTCTTTATCTAAATCTTTTGATACCCTCATCACCTTACTCTTATCTATGTTTACTTTCAACTTTCTACCTTTACACAGCCTCCCAAACTCGTCTACTAGCCTTTGGAACTTTTCTTTAGAATCTCCCATAAGCACAGTATCATCAGCAAAAATTAACTGTGTCAAGTCCCATTTTGTACTTGATTCCCCATAATTTAACCCTTTCAGGGTCCGTCCCGTAGATCTACGGCTTTACATTCAGGGTCCAAACCGTAGATCTACGCCATGAGCTCAGCTCACTCTGATAAACTGTGAGTGGTACATTTGGGCCTAGATATGAGAGAATACATCTATGTGGTATGTGTGCACCACATAAAACAGATCCTGCAGCACACTGTGTATAATGAGAGAAAAAAACTGAAATCATGATTTTTCGATTAAAACAGCAACTTTGCAGTGTTTTTTCGTATGTTTTTTATAGTTGATTTGCGATTTCTTGGTCTCATTTGATAGAATGGAAGACATATTACAGAAATAAGATGATTTTGATTGGTTTTAGCACTGGAAATGGCTTGAAACTGACTCAAAGTACGGAAATGTTAAAATTTTTGCCGATATTCAAGAGTAAACAAACGACCTCACACATCTAATACACGTCAGCTGGTGGGGCTAATAATACATTCACAAATATGGTGATGATATTTATACAATTATTACAGCATTGCATAACATAAATCTTCTATTTTTTGGTGTGAATAAAAATTCATTATGTGAATAAAAAATCAAAATGGAATTTATTTGTAAAGCCTCAAAATGTAACTAATGAACAGAGGAAATGTTAGTTTAGTTCCAGGAATACCTACATTGTTTATTCTGGAGCCTATTTTGAAATTGGAATATTTTGAACTTTGTGTTAAATTGGCCAAATTAACAATTTCCGATCACTTTATTTTGTAGTTGAAACAGTTGACTTGGCGATTTCTTGTGCTCAATCGATAGAATAGAAGTAATACTAGTGAAATAGCTAAGAATTTGGTTGATTGGAATAATGTAATTGGCCTAAAATGGGAGTCAAAGTCGGCAAAATCGCCGATTCGTAAATATCGCTGACACATCAAAATTCGCGAGAGCATAATTTCGTCAATTTTCCACCAAATTTCGTACTTTTTGTTTTATTACCTTCACAAAAAGATTCTCTACGATTTCATAAGAAAAAATAACAAATTTTATTTTTGAAAATTCTTGGACACTGGGGCACCACTTCAGATTTGGGCCTTGGACCCTGAAAGGGTTAAAGGAGATATACTAGGAATAAGGTAAAATGAGTTAATTATATTTACATGTGTGTTAGCTAAAAAAATAAAAATCATTCTCCTCCCTTTCTGTCACTACATTCATTAGGCACCTTTTGGATCTCTTCTTGAACTGGTTCATGATATGACTGGCTTCGACATGTGCAGGCAGTCTGTTCCATTCCTTTATTGCTGTACAATAAAAATTGTTTGAAGCCTGGCCACTGACTGTGGGTACTACAAAGTTGTGCTCTCTTCCTCTAGTACTATGATTGCTTTGGTTCCCAGCCTTTGCAAAATTGGCAACAAGATTTTCTGGACACTGTATGTGAGCAATTTTATAAACTTGATTCAACTTCAGTTGTTTTACTCTGTCTTCAACATTCAGCATATCCAATAATTGTAATTCATCCTGGCCTACATGTTCTCTTGGACCCAGGTCCAGGATGAATCTTACCATTTTATTCTGGGTGTTTTGCAGTCTTTTTTTTTTTTTTTTTTTTTTTTTTTTTTTTTTTTTTGCCAAGGCAGAGTACCATGAAGAGCCAGCGTAGTCCATATAACATTGTATAAGGGCTAGACATAGGGTCCTGCGATCCTCTGTAGGTAAACACTGTGCTTGTCTGTAGAGGAAGTTCAGTTTGGCATTCGCTTTCTTTATTACACTGTTCCCTATCAGTTCTCCTGACATGCATGGTTCAAAGGGGTTTCCCAGATATTTTACTGAGGAAACTGAAGTGATGGGTTCCCCATTACACCAGACTTTAAAATATTTACCCTTCTCAGTTTATGCTTCATGCAAAAGAGTATGGCCTCCATTTTCCCAAGGCATAACGATAGTTTGTTGTCTTACTATCTGTTTGCTGCAGGATTCCAGTTCTAGTGTTATTACATTAACTATATCTTGTGGGTCTTTACCTGACACTAACAGAGCACTGTCATCTGTGTACAGAAGAGTTTGTACTTGACACTCATGGGCATGTCATTTATTTTTTTTTTTTATTAACACACTGGCCGATTCCCACCAAGGCAGGGTGGCCCGAAAAAGAAAAACTTTCACCATCATTCACTCCATCACTGTCTTGCCAGAAGGGTGCTTTACACTACAGTTTTTAAACTGCAACATTAACACCCCTCCTTCAGAGTGCAGGCACTGTACTTCCCATCTCCAGGACTCGAGTCCGGCCTGCCGGTTTCCCTGAATCCCTTCATAAATGTTACTTTGCTCACACTCCAACAGCATGTCAAGTATTAAAAGCCATTTGTCTCCATTCACTCCTATCAAACACGCTCACGCATGCCTGCTGGAAGTCCAAGCCCCTCACACACAAAACCTCCTTTACCCCCTCCCTCCAACCTTTCCTAGGCCGACCCCTACCCAGCCTTCCTTCCACTACAGACTGATACACTCTTGAAGTCATTCTGTTTCGCTCCATTCTCTCTACATGTCCGAACCACCTCAACAACCCTTCCTCAGCCCTCTGGACAACAGTTTTGGTAATCCCGCACCTCCTCCTAACTTCCAAACTACGAATTCTCTGCATTATATTCACACCACACATTGCCCTCAGACATGACATCTCCACTGCCTCCAGCCTTCTCCTCGCTGCAACATTCATCACCCATGCTTCACACCCATATAAGAGCGTTGGTAAAACTATACATCTTTCTTTCTTTCAACACACCGGCTGTATCCCACCGAGGCGGGGTGGCCCAAAAGGAAAACGAAAGTTTCTCCTTTTACATTTAGTAATATATACAGGAAAAGAGGTTACTAGCCCCTTGCTCCCGGCATTTTAGTCGCCTCTTACAACACACATGGCTTACGGAGGAAGAATTCTGTTCCACTTCCCCATGGAGATAAGGGGAAATAAACAAGAATAAGAACTAGAAAGAAAATAGAAGAAAACCCAGAGGGGTGTGTATATATATGCTTGTACATGTATGTGTAGTGTGACCTAAGTGTAAGTAGAAGTAGCAAGACGTACCTGAAATCTTGCATGTTCATGAGACAGAAAAAAGGACACCAGCAATCCTACCATCATGTAAAACAATTACAGGCTTTCGTTTTACACTCACTTGGCAGGACGGTAGTACCTCCCTGGGCGGTTGCTGTCTACCAACCTACTACCTAGGAAAACTATACATATATAACATAATAAGGGACCCAGAATACTACCTTGGAGAACTCTACATGCTATCGGCAGGGATTCTGATTCCATTTTGTTGATTTTGACAATTTGTTTCCTATTGCTAAGATAGGACTTAAACCAGTCTATTGAACCTATGCCGATAGCTTGAAGTTTCTTACATAATACATATATTGTGGTTGACAGTATTGAAGGCATTTTGCAAGTCCTAAGGTTACCATTCCTATGAGGTTCCCTATTGACATTTCAGTTCTCATGTAATCCATTAGATTAATTAGGGAGGTGTCAGTTGAGTAAGATGTCCTAAAGCCTGATTGGTAACTGTGAAGAATGTTGTCATTTAGATACTAAACTACTTGATAGTACACTGCCCTCTCTAGAATTTTGGATATTACACTGAGTATACTAATATTATGGATTTGTTTTTTCTGATACAGGAAGGCCCCACTTATACGGCGGGTTAGGTTCCAGGCTACCGCCGTAAAGCGGAAATCGCCGTAAAGTGGAACACCCTTTTTTTCCACTTATAAATGCATACAAACACTAGATAACAAGTTTACACTAACATATATTAAGTTAGCAATAGAACCAGGCATCAAAAAACAATAAAAAGGTACAATACACACATAGTGCACTCATTACTTACCTTAAAATATTTATAGTCTTAATCTAGGGTGAGACAAGTAGTATTTATTGTAAGAAATCAAGTGTGGTATGTATTGTAATAGCCAGGCTATCTTACCAGGCCACCCCACCCACACATACTGTTCTATGATATTTAAGCATCCCAGAGCGATAAAATGTATATACAGTTCACTCATTACTTACCTTAAAATATTTGTAGTCTTAATGTAGGGTCAGGAGTAAGTAAATGAGATAAAACGAATAAATGAGAGAGAGAAAGAATGAGTACATGAGGTAACAGAAGCAGAGTTATGTTAAACAAACCAGGCTCCCACATCTTATATTTATGTTTATATTATTCTATTGTGGGGTGTATTTATCATCTTTTTATGTTATGTATCGTGTTTATTATATAATTTTGAAAAAAATATCATGGCTGGATTAATGAAAATGTGTATATTACCGTAATATAGACATTTAATGAGACCCGTGACTATTGTTATTATCACCACTTGTGGAAGTCGTCTGCTACCACAGCTCACATTTATGTTTATTTATTCTACTGTGGGGTGTATTTATCTTATTTATATGTTATGCATCGTGTTTATTATATAATTTTGAAAAAAATATCATGGCTGGATTAATGAAAATGTGTATATTACCGTAATATACGACATTTAATGAGACTCCGTAACTATTGTTATTATGGCGTCACTTGTGGAAGTCGTCTGCTTCCACAGCTCACATTTATGTTTATTTATTCTACTGTGGGGTGTATTTATCTTATTTATATGTTATGCATCGTGTTTATTATATAATTTTGAAAAAAATATCATGGCTGGATTAATGAAAATGTGTATATTACCGTAATATACAACATTTAATGAGACTCAGTATTGTTATTATCACCACTTGTGCAAGTCGTCTGCTCACATCTCACATTTGTTTATTTATTCTACTGTGGGGTGTATTTATCTTATTTATATGTTATGCATCGTGTTTATTATATAATTTTGAAAAAAATATCATGGATGGATTAATGAAAATGTGTATATTACCGTAATATACGACATTAATGAGACTCAGTATTGTTATTATCACCACTTGTGCAAGTCGTCTGCTCACATCTCACATTTGTTTATTTATTCTACTGTGGGGTGTATTTATCTTATTTATATGTTATGCATCTTGTTTATTATATAATTTTGAAAAAAATATCATGGATGGATTAATGAAAATGTGTATATTAACGTAATATACGACATTTAAATGACTCGATGTATGTAAGTTTATTTAGGTACAGGTATACATAAGTATAATTATCAGAGTATATATAAAATATGAAATAACTTTTAAAAACATTTGAAATTTTGGAGTTTCCAGACAAAATGGAGAGACTTAGTGCTTACTGAGCTCATGGAGAATGTAAACAAACAGGGTGGGGCACGGTGACCGTATTAGAAAGTCAGGTGGGGGGAGCCGTATAGTGAGTTTTGGTCATAATTTGAAATGTCCGTATTAGCGGAACGCCGTAAAGTGAAACGCCATAAAGCGGGGCCTTCCTGTACAGTATTTAAACAAAAAATCAATAACTCTTGCAAGACTAGTGGGGCCTAAAATAGATACCAAAGCAAATCTCTATAATGTAAGTGTTGGCATCATCATAATATTCACCACTCTGTATGCTTCACTTAAAAATTGAATGGGATGGATAGACTTCATTGCAATACACTTTCAATACAGTAAGATCTTTTATAAAGCTCCTATAGTTCTTTTTTTGTCAAATGCAATTGAGAAAATGCTTTCAAAATTAAATAACATTTACTAAGAAGGTCTTTTCATTCACTATTCAATTTTGGATGCATTTTTTTTGGCTGCATTACAAAAAATTGCACTACTTAGAGGAACTTGTAAGAGAGCTTACTATGTATTAAACATGTTCATTTGAAAATGAGCTTAAAAAAGGATGTGCTAATGAAAAGTTTACTGTAGATTCAGTACATTTGATACGGTATCCAAAAAACTTCCTTTATATTGTCTTGTAAGCATAAAAATACTATATATTGCAGACTTGAAACGTTAATTCTTCAAGCAGTGGAGCAGCAGCGTACCCAGTGTGCCTACCACAACACTCGCAGTGACAGTCAGGTGAGTAGAGGAGGTGATGACGACAGCACTCAACGTTATGCCAAGGTCAGTAGAAGCAGCTCCCTGCCTCTAGCTCTCATTTTTAATTGCTGTTTAATTAGCAATTTTATAATAGATGGAATGACAAGTTAATACCTTATATTTACCATTTTTTAATTTTACAATGAATGGGAAGACAAACTAAAAAAATTTCCAGATAAAAGTGGACATCCTTTCCTAAGAAAAAGATTTACTAATCAAGGTCAGGCTGGGTGAGTAACTGTGTCTCCAACATTTAACAGACACATAATTTATAGTAATTGATGTCTAGAGCAGGGCTGTCCCATTTCTAATCATCAATTAGGCTGCTGCTGCTGCTTTTTTTTTCTCTCTTATTAATAGCATGCTGGCCATCTCCCACCAAGGCAGGGTGACAAAAAAAAAACCTTTCACCGTCATTCACACACAATCACTGTCTTTGCATAGGCATGCAGATATGATAGTTCAGATGTCACTCCAAACAGCAAATATCCCAAATTCCTCCTTTAAAGGGCAAGCATTGTACTTCCCACCACCAGGACTCAAGTCCAGTTAACTAGTTCAAAATATTACCCTGCTCACACTCCAACAGCTCAAGTTCCAAAAGCCATTTGTCTCCATTCACTCCTATCTAATACGCTTACCCATGCTTGCTGTATGTCCAAGCCCTTTGCACACAAAACCTTTTTACCCCCTCCCTCCATTCTTTCCTAGGATGACCCCTGCTGCTCCTCCCTGCCTTCCCTCCACTACAGATTTATACTCCCTCCAACTCATCCTATTTTGCTCCATCCTCTCTATATGACCAAACCACTTCAACTTCCCCTCCTCAGCCCTCTGAATAATATTTTTAGTAACTCCACACCTAATTTCCACACTATGAATTCTCTGCATAATATTTACACCACACATTGCCCTTAAACACGACATCTCCACTGCCTCCAGCTCCCTCTTCCTCGCTGCAGCATTTACAACCTATGCTTCACGTCCATATAAGAGTGTTGGTACCACTTTACTCTCATAGATTCCCTTCTTTGCCTTTATGGATAACATTCTTTCTCTCCATAGACACCTCAATGCACCACCCACCTTTTTTCTTTCATCCGTTCTATGGTTTACCTCTTCCTTCATAAACCCATCCACTGACAAGTCTACTCCCAGATATCTTAACACATTCACTTCTTCCATACTCCCTCCCTCCAATTTTTCTTTACCCAATTCGTTTGATACCCTCATCAACTTACTCTTATCTTTGTTCACTTTCAACTTTCTTACTGTTCTGGAGTTGTTTTATGTTGACCCATTGTTCTCATGGGTGTAAGGATGATACATTCATTGCACAAATGATCATGAGAAGAGACCAAACAGGATCTCTGCATTGACATATAATTGTTTTAGCCCCACTCTTATCCTATATAATTTCTTCAAAGATTGACAGAATGCAGCACCGTCTATAGCACTGCACACTTGCACTTGTTATTCTACCTATCTACAAGTTGAACAGCCCTGGTCTGGAGTATTGTTAGATTTGTGTGAAACGTCAGATTACACTACAGTGGTACCTTGACTTATGAGTGCCCCAGCTTATGAGTTTTTCGAGTTATGAGCCATCGCTCGGTCGAATTTTTGCTTTGAGTTACTAGCCAAAATCCAAGTTACAAGCGAGCTTCAGATGCGCTGGCACTAGTTGGCGCAGTGAACACCACAACATCTGCCCAGCATCCCAGCGTTATGTGCTTTTTTTGCAGTTATTTTGTCAAATTTCTTTTTTCTAACCATGGGTCCTAAGAAAGTAAGTGCAAAGGACAGTGCTGAGAAGAAGAGGAGGATGATGTCCATTGAATTAAAGCATGAAATCATAGAAAAGCACAAAATCACTTTTGTTTCAATGTTTTCCTTATGAAACTAGTGATCTAGTGCAGTTAGCCTCACACTGTTTTCTCTTATAATATGACCTCAGAAGGGCAAGAATGGGAAGATATGGTCAGAGCGATAATTATTTTTATCTTGAGAGTGGCTGCCACCACTCGTCACAATGACATATTTTATTCATTCTAGAGTATGTACATATCATGTTTCTATGTTATTTATTTTGTTTATTATGTCATGTTAGATCACTTGTGATAAATAAGCCATAGAGTTGATATTAGCGTTATATTGACATATTTTCCCCTGCCTCCCAAGAGCCAGTAATTCCGCTGGAATGGATTTGTGGCATTTCGACTAATTTCAGTGAGGAAAATTTATTTGATATACGAGCAAATTGAGTTGCAAGCTTGGTCACGGAACGAATTAAAATCGTAAGTCAAGGTACCACTGTACCTGCTCCACTTCGTGTAAATGTAAATAAATGTAATAGGGTTAGACTTGTATATTCCTAGAGAATTTTTTTATACACATCATAGGCATTTGTCATTTTTATATGAAATTTTTTGTTTTAATATATTTTCAGCTTAATCATCTTTCTTCAGTATTAGAAGAAATTATTTTTAAAACCCACAATAGAAAATTAATTGCACCTGGTGTCTTGAGCTATTAATTTCATGATAGGTTTACAGTTGACAGATCTTACAAAGATACTTTTGTTGTAGACTTGTTCCAACCTGTCATTGCTCCTGGCAATCTTTATTGTTTAGCTTTATAAATATGAAGAAATAATACAGACTTTGGCAGAAGTAGTGCACAGCACAATATCTGTGGATTACTTAAATTAATGAAAATCTTTTGATTTTTGTTCTTCATGTTCACCTGTCTATTGAATGCAATAGACTGGGCATTATTGAAACAAAGTGCATGAAACTCTTACCATCTGCATGCTTATGTTACATGAGAATCATGAAAACAAAATAATGTACAGTATAGCATGATGTTGGGTAATAGGGAGTCAGTGACCTAGCTGCAAAAAACTCTTACTTTAACAATTGTTTTGCAACAAATAAATATTGGGGAGTGTAGAATCCTTGATCTTGTATAGTACCTCTGTGATGGTGTAGTGGTTCTTGAGGCTTGTATCCTTAGGTAGTAAAAAGTCTTAGGAAGTATGAATTCCTTGGTGGTCTTGTGTAGGATTCTCTCAGGAATAACATTGCAAGCATCCCTTGGTGTAGTATTTGGCAGTATGCTACATGGCTTTATTCTTTAAATCTTCAAGGAGCTACATATTGGGAATCGCCAGAGTGTTTGGTAAAAAGGAGTAAGTAAGGAGGAGGAGGAGGAGGAGAAATAGGAACAAGGTGAGGAAGAGGAATCAGAGGGGACGACGAAGAGAGGAGGGGAATAACAGAGCAGGATCGCAGATGATCTGGGAGATTTAAGGAAGGGTACGGGATATGTAGTGTTTGCATTGAAGCATCCATGGATTTAGAAAAGGCATATGATAGGGTGGATAGAGAAGCAGTGTGGCAGATGTTGCAAGTGTATGGTAGGTTGCTCAAAGCAGTTAAAAGCTTTTTATGAAAACAGACTCATGTTAGGGTGTGATCTCACTATGCTTGTTTAACCCTTTGAGGGTTTTGGTCGTACTAGTACGTCTTACGCGTAGGGGTTTTTGACGTACTAGTACGCATAAATTCTAGCGGCCTCAAATCTAGTGGGAGAAAGCTGGTAGGCCTTTATATGAAAGAATGGGTCTATGTGGTCAGTGTGCACAGTCTAAAAAAAATCCTGCAGCACACAGTGTATAATGAGAAAAAAAAAACTTTGACCATTTTTTTGGAATAAATCAGCGACTTTGCAGTGTATTTTCGTATGGTATTTATTGTTGTATTCTAGTTTTCTTGGTCTCATTTTATAGAATGGAAGACATATTTCAGAAATTGAGATGATTTTGACTGGTTTTACAATGAAAGGTGCTTTGAAATTGAGCTCAAAGTAGCAGAAATTTTTCGATTTTTACCAAACTTCAAAAGTAAACAAATCGTGCCAAGCGTGCAATACACGTCAACTGGTGAGTCTAATATTCTTTCACAAGTGCGCCAATAATATTTATACCATTTTTTACACTAATGCAGTAGTCTGCATAACAGTAAATCTTATATTTTTTTGTGAGAATAAAAATTCAAAGTGGAAAGCAAAAGAATATAAGAGGGGCCTTGAGACGTGACTAATGACTAGAGGAAATGTCATTTTAGTGCCAGGAATATCTTTCTTGTTTATTCTGGACCCTATTCGGAAATTGGGATCTTTTGAAATTTGTGTGAAATTGGCAAAATTGCTAAATTCTGACCACTGTACTGGATAGTTGAATTTCATAAATGGGTGGTTTCTTGCACCCATTCGATAGAAAAAATGGAGTTCTAGCGAAATATTCATGTTTTTTGTCGACTAGTACAGTGAAATTGGCCGAAAATGGGGCTCAAAGTGGGCAAAATCGCCGATGCGTAAACATCGCCGAGACCACTAACTTTGCGAGAGCATAATTCCGTAAGTTTTCTATCAAATTTCAAACTTTTGGTGTCTTTATGATCGGGAAAAGTTTCTCTATCTTTTCATAAGAGAAAATAATTTTTTTTTTTTTTTTAAATTTGGCCGACCCTGAGAACGAGTTTCGGAGAGGGCCTGTCGACCCTCAAAGGGTTAACATACTTATAGATGGGGTTGTAAAAGAAGTGAACTCTAGAGTGTTGGGGAGAGGTATGGGATTAAAAGACAAAGACTAATACAAAGTGGGAGTTGTCACAGTTGCCTTTTTCCAATGATATTGTTCTTTTGGGAGATTCTGAAGAAAAGTTGCAAAAGTTGGTAGACAAATTCGGGAAGCTATGTAAAAAAAGGAAATTAAAAGTGAACATAGGAAAGAGCAAGGTCATGAGAGTAACAAGAAATTTGGGTAATGAAAGATTGGACATCAGATTGGAAGGAGGCAGTATGGAGGAAGTAACTGCATTCAGATATTTAGGAGTGGACTTGTCAGCAGACAGAGCTATGAAAAATGAGGTGAACCATAGAATTGACGCTAGGGGAAGAAAGAGAGTGATGCATTGTGGCATCTCAGGAAACAAAGAATGCTATCCATGGAAGCAAAGAAG